TTAGGCTACTCAAAACATCGATGATGACCATTATCGATGGTTTTTGTATATGTGTAGATACTTACACATTGTTTCAAAATTATGTGGGTATACACATCAAGGGAAAAGTAACTATTAACTTGAATATCAATTTACGTAGAATAGTTATTATGCGACAACCGACAACGACACTACAAAATAAAGCTAAAGCAGTGACCATTGTGACATCACAGGTGACACTTGACAATTAAGTTTGACTCACCATACTGACATTTTTTTAGGTTAACGATGCGTTCAGGAATTCTGAATTATTCAAAATTTTTAATCTTCAGAGCAGATGCAAGATTTAGTTGATATTGATTTCGCGAGTTCGCATTGTTTGCAAGTTCCCAATTATCGATTATGGGTTCATTGACGTCGATGTTTCGATGTTTGACATGTGTCAACATCGATGTTAAAACATCGAAGTTTTAATTTTTAACATCGATGATCATCTAACATCCCTATTTTAAGTGTGTTTCCCACTCAGCGTGTGTTATGCGACGATCGTAAATAAAGCGCAAGGTCAAACTTTACGCGTTGTAGGAGTGGACCCCAGTACTGATTGTTTTGCACATGGCCAACTCTATGCCAACCTTTTTCCGTACGCCCCGGCTAAGTCTACTTCTATCGTCGTTTACACGGAAGCTCTATCATAAACGACTTAGAACTTTGAGCGTATCGATTTATTTTGTTACCACTTATTCATACAGTAATGATATAAATCGTTTAATATTCTCTTACCATAAACGTCAAATTCTTTAAGTAAAACCTATATTCGCGAGCTACGCCGCGGGCACAGCTAGTTAATAATAATACTATTTTTATTGTTGTGAAGATGAGCTTACATAATGTTAGATGTAGAAAGAAACTTGGATGCGGAGCCCGTGAACAAAAAATTATTCTTAATTTTATAATTTTATTAAAAGTTAAAATTTTAATTTAAAAAAAATTGAGTCTTTTAAATTTTAACTTTTACATTTAATAAAAGTTGAGAGACAGAAAAATATTTAAAAAATCGTGTTTTTGTTATTAGTACCGTATATATATATGTACTTTCATAATATGCATATAGTAAAAAGCTGTTATTTCTACATTACAAACAGACGCTTCAATTTTATTTATTTGTATAGATTAGCGTTCCGCCCACCTTCGCACGGGTGATTTCTGGATCTCGACGACTGGGTCCAATCTATACAAATAAATAAAATTGAAGTGTCTGTTTGTAATGTCAAAATTACAGCTTTTTACTAAATGCATATGAAAGTATATACGGTACTAATAACAAAAATACAATTATTAAAGTTTTTGTCTGTCTGTCTATCTGTCTGTCTGTCTGTTTGTTCCGGCTAATCTCCGAAACGGCTGGACTGATTTTGACGGGATTTTCACTGGCAGATAGCTGATGTCACAAGGAGTAACTTAGGCTACTTTTATTTTAGAAATAGAATTAGGGTTCCGCGCAAAAAATTAAAACCCAAAATAACACGCGAGCGAAGGCGCATGGAATAGCTAGTAAGAAATAAAAGCCGACTACAAACAACTAAAAAGAATAAAATAATTTCATTGACTTGCAGGGTGATCGTGGGCTGCAGTAACTTAACATACCATCAAGTGGACTGTAAACTCCGTTTGTCACTTAATTTAATAAAAATAGATACATACATATATATTATACATACACAATATATTTCGGGGAGTGTGCGCCAGGAAGTGCATGCAATTTTAGTGACTTAATTCCTCCCTCGTTCCGCCCTCGTGCTCGTGACTGACTGCCAGTCGCTCGGGTGGTTTCCAGCCCTACGTTGTCGATATACCACGCATTCGAAATAAACGGTTTGCTTTTAATGTGTGTGTAGAAACAAATTTGCCAGGAACTTAATTTCCATCCGATTACAAAGTAGGTGTGTGTCTCGTAAGTCAAGTTAAGAAAAAATGATAGTTAAAATAAGTTTAGTTAAAAAACAAATCGATTTTTTTAAGACAGCGAGGGGAGGGATGAAGGAGGGGAAGAAAAGCCGAGCGGCCGCCTACATCCCATTGTTTCAACGTTATAATACCAGGACTAAATGAATTCTAGCGGTCGCAATTGCACATAAAACATTAAATATACTTACTTACTCTTTGACTGCACACTGATTCGTAAATTCGTAACACAATCGTATATGACTTGTAATGCATTTAAAAAGATAAGTAAATTAATAAATAACAGCCGTCATAACGAAAAACAAACGGAAACAACTTTTATTTTAAAAGGTCTCATAAAAACATTATATAAAACAGAAGTTACAACAGACTACATGATTTTTAGAGTTTATTAAAGATGATAAAAAAATATTGCTAAGATCCGCGAAATAAAATAAAATGACGTATCTTACCTATTTTGAAGAGTCTTATTGGTTAGCCACCGCCCACCGCAGTCTACTTCACCTAAGGATGCGTCGTGTAGAGCCTCTACAGTAGAGGCGAAACACGTGTCGTTTTTTTCATCGCGAAAGGCCAATCGAAGTCTATCATAACATTCTTGGTGACTTAAATGACATCGAAAGTCATAAAAAATTATTGTACGAAAATTTTCTCGCGTTAAATTCATGCTGACGTGACGCAGACAATGTTTAATTTCAAATCGTAAACAAATGACAAATTAATAAAATATTGGCAAAAGTTCCATTTTCAAAATTTGAACTTATTTTTTATTATATGTTTTACAAGCGGCCAGTCCTAAAAACTTTGTGTCGCCTTCGTAAGTGCAAAGGTAATCATAAAAGTTCGATTACTGTTTATTTACTAAGTTATAAAATTGAAATTTCTGTCTGTAATATTTAACGAATTAAAAGTTAAAGTTGCAGCCTATATACATCCCACTGCTGAGCACAGACCTCCTCTCATTTTTGAAAGGGTTTTAGGGCAATAAAATGTTTGCCGCGCTGCGCCAAATGTGTGTTGGCTAACTTGGCGAAGCAAACACTATTTGCCTAGAGAATTTCTCAGAATCTATGGTCAATCATAATTATTTACTGTTTTTTTTTTTATTTTATTTATCCTACTTTGTGCTTGAACAAACCTCCGGACCCGCAACGGTCAATTCGATTTTCAAGTTTCAAGCAATATACATGAGCCGTAGGTGTACGTATGTTTTTATGTATGATCTAAGTAATACGTCTCAGCTCTCAAGGCCACAAATAAGCACATCGGTATAGGGATATTTTAACAACACATCAAACGTCAATTCCAAAGAGTATATAAATATTTCCTTAAGACATATATATATCCAAGAAAACTTTATTTAATAATCTACCATTTCTTTATATAAACATTGACTTTAAACGAGATTTCGGTTTGTTATGCAGAGAAAAAATAGCGCAAGTGTGAATACTATACATCATGAAAGTTTAATTTTTAAATTAAAAAGTAAAATAAAGTAAAAACGTTTTAAGGGCGGCTATTAATTAAGAGTTAATATTCAGTAAAAGCACCCATGATATCCATAACATCTGCATCGGTTGGGCATACCCAGAATGAAATTGTCAATATCCTGTTGAGGAATATTGTCCAAAGTCATGTCATACTGAGATGCAAAAACAGTTGTTCTTCTGTAACCAGATTTTCAGTAAAATGCCTTAGAGCTCTTCTTTGGAGCATATCCCAAGCATGTGACGGCTCCGTGACGCAGTGACTTAGCAATGAGTTGTTGCGCTGGGGACCGCGGGTTTGAATCCCGCACGGAACAAGTATTTGTATGGCCTACAAATAATTATTCCGAGTCTGAATGTTTGTCCTCGTGCAATTTATGTTTGTAAACTGCCTCCAAAACCAATTGGGATTTATGGGTGAAAAGCACCAATGACCATTGATGAGGTTCTTAGTTCCCATGTTCTCTAGCCCATTACGATCTTCGTCCACGATTTCCTCTTTTTAGAGCTGGAACCCGAAATGGTCTATAAGCATGAAGGTTGGCTTCGTGCAGTCTCCTCCTCACAGTTTGGTTACTCAACAATAACACAAACACCTGGTGTTCAGACTATAACATCCTTTGGATCAATTGAATCGCCGTCACATTTGGTTGCCTTCTCGCAGGAATTTGCAAGAAATGGTCTTGTGGTCGCTAGCGTGACCACAACCTCGAAATCACATTTTGCTTGGTGCCTATTGCCGCAACGACGTCACGTAAAAAAACAGTAGCTTGCGGCACTCTCCCTGGTCTTAACATCTCTTCTAAAATCAACCCATTTTGAATCAAAAAGGTGTTTAAATAGCGGTTTTCAACAAAAAAATACAAACGACTTTTTATGCCACCAGGGCGGCGCCACTAGAAAGTGAGGTATAATATTTGACAGATTTCATAGCGGGGAAGTTAATTTGTTGGGAAAATGTAAAGGTTATTGTTTCTTTTTGCACTACGTATTGGCTATATTTTATATTAAAAAGATTTAAAAAAAAAAGAAAAATTGAAAAAACGTTAAAAATGTGCAAAGAAATTAAAGAGCAAAACCACTGCCGCATTTTTTGTGTATTAATTTAACTCATGTCATAATTACTCTAGAAACTGATAAACTTTTATTAAAAACCAACTTCGCAACAATTAAATAAAAAAACACTGTGTAACAAAAAACTTTACCTCAGTGTCAACTAGCGACATCTGGTGAGCAGAAAATTCATTCTATTCTTACCGCCAAACCATTTTATTTTTTCTTCTTTTTTTCTTATTTTTTCATTTTAATTTGGGCTAATATTAAAAACGTTTTAAAGTGGCCAGTACTTTTTTTTGTTGGTCAATGTTATTAAAAATATCCCTATACCGCGTTGATTGAGTAATTTATGTCTATTTAACAATTTAATATGTCGTTATACTATAAGATACTAGGTAGTTTAAAAAAACCTATTCGAACCGATTAATATTTACTTAATTACTTTACCTATTAACCCTTAAATAAATATTTTTGTGTCAATCTAAAATAACTAAATCCTTACTACCTCCCCAGGTACTAGGATTTCCAAATACGTACACATTTCGAATATACGAGCACATGAAACAACGACGCACGCCTACCGAGCACACTACGACACTCAATAAAGATAGAAGGGTGAGTACTGTAAGCATTCTATGTTACTATGCCTCCCTGGTATAATTTATCTACAATACACGTGGCGTTCGAGTTTGAGTGTCATTGACCTGGATTTGCGCAAAGTATTTTTGATACAGCCACACCGCGTGTGTCGCGCGTATCGAGTATCGTACGCTAGGTGTGTGCGTGCGTATCTTTTTTATTCATAAGTTCGTTCTCATTCATTATTAGTAGCCACATTCAAAATATAGTGCAGCTAGAAGACAGACAGACAGACGTCTTGCTGTTGTATGTATATCGCAGTCAAGAAACATAATTAGTTTTTTAGTTAACAGCCTGGCCTTTTTACTTAACGGCGCCGTTCAACTAGAGGCCTGAATCATAATCGTTATTTAATCGTACCGTTGAATGAATGAAATTAATAAGGCGAACATGACATGCAAAATCCCGGGTCTGTGCCTAGTTATGCACGATGTGCTATATTATATTACAAATAAATGTACGCGGCTTTAGAGTTTTAAGGCATAAGATTTTTCTTGTATTTCCAAACTAATTTAACGTTCTCTTAAACCGCGGCACCGCGGCATCATGATACGGCAAATATTGCTTTCTCGCCCCAGCTGTTACAGATATTACAAGATATATAGATAGGTGCAATGTATGTGTTAATTGTAAGTGCCGTGTGTCAGTGCAATCTATTAATGTGTTAGACGCATTGGCTGAATATATCAGGCCGCTAGTTGAGCAGTGCCGTTTAGTCAAAAATATAAAGGTTTAGACTGTTGTTGCAACTGCAAGGCTAATTAAGTATACAACATGTATACTGCATTGACACTACACTAGGGGAAGATGACTTAGCAATAAGAGTACGTTAAATTGATTTGGAAATATAAGAAAAATCTTATGCCTTCGAAAATAGATGGCAGTATAATTTCTTTTATGCCAGACGTAAAATATCCAAACCGGTGATGGCAAGCTATGCTAAGATTAAATCCATTCAACTTATATTATTTAATATAAACCTCTATTTTAATACCGGTTAATATTTAAGGGCATCTTCAGTACTTAACCAAAATAGTCTCTAGCAGAGTACGTTTATAGCATTTTGTTATAAATAAATAAATATTTAAATATAAAAAGCTAAAAATATTATGATTTTTAACTTAAAAATCCATATTCACAATTTCAAAATTTTCTAAATTAGAATAGCGCAGGGGTATGAATTTCACTGACAATTCTAGGTTGTAGCTATTTAATGTCGTGGGCTCGAATCCGCCATTCGACTATTGTCGTGAACAACTCCTATCACAAGCATTTTAAGCCTACAAGCACGGCTAGCATGGGCTGGGGACCCGATTATATCCACTGACAAGAGATAAAGTTAACGGGGAGAAGTATATCCCCGTTTGAAATAACGAGTAGACATACCCCCCATCCCTACCATGGAGCCAAATGAAAGATAAAAACATTATGCTTTTTTGACATTTGAAAGGGACAATTTTCTCCGTTTAATTTGTTATATACAATATTAAAAACTAAGGCTATACTTAGCCTTTGAGCGAGAAAAGAACCAACCCTCTTATCACCAGCAGCAACGACCAGCCGCGGATGGAGCTCCTTTAGGAACTTCACCGCACTTGAACCCCACGGACCGATAGTCTCTACAGCAAATGGCACAAATATGTAGTCATCTCTCAGAGACTCATATATGCGCCACTTACTCAGTTCAGCTGCCTGTAATGCCGCCCCGGATCTAAGCGAGGTACCCCTGAGATGAGAGGCCGACAGAGTGTCTACGCAAGTAACATCCCACACTAGGGTTTTACCTCTCTCCCAAAGGACCAATGTCATACCGTCGGGTCTCCTGCCACATCTCTAAATATTTCACAAGGCTCTAAAACCGAGGGAACATTTATAGAGACAAGAGCCCTTCGGATGACATCGTTCAAAGAACTGTGTCGTGAAAACCTACCAGCACTTTTCTTACATGAAAGTCCGTGGAGCCCAAACTTGTCGACGCTGCTTTTGTTTGCTTTTATCCTAGTTCATTGTACGTGTGTTTAAGTTTATATTCATACAAAAAATCTATCTAAGTCTAAGTCTATCCCATTTTATCTACTGTGGATATTATATCCACCGGTGTGCCCATGCTCGAAGGGTGGATAAAACTAAGCGAGGGGATAAACTTTTTCTCATTTCCTCGGGAATAAAATTGTCTCCTGCCCATGCTAGCCCTGGAGTGGTTAAAGGGAATATTCGTAATGTTAACAGCATTGGATAGTATTTAAAAAAAAAGTACATATATAAAAGTACCTATTGCAATGTTTTCATTGATCAAGTGTGTAAATAAAGACAAACAAAGTTTCTACTAAACTGTTTTTAAATGTCAATTGATAAAGTTTCTTATTAATTATCTACACATTAATTAAATCAATAATTTTATTTTCCGCATATGTTTCGTTCGAAGAGTATTTTAATTTAAAAAAATATTCGTCTACAGATTCGTTGGGCGGAGCAATCATTTGCAAAGACAAGAGTAAAACGATATCCAATGCCTGATTCAGACGAAGAGCTGATGCGAGTGAAGCGGATTAATGAGAAAAACTTGTCTATGGGCGAAAAAAACGGTGAAAGAGAACGCATCAAGAGGGATATTTTATTTAATGATGAGCTTTGGAGCTACGAATGGTATTTGGTAAGAGTTTAATGTTTCCAACGTGTACGTTGTGCTGTAGCATAAGGCTTACGTGGTAGAGCCACGCTGTACTATGTTTACCTGGTAGAGCCACGCTGCATTATGTTTACCTGGTACAGCCACGCTGGATTTTGCGTAGTAGAAAACCACGCTGGACGACTATGTTATGGTTGTAGTAAATGGGTTGTCTCGACCGGGGTAAGGACTACGCTCTCACAGAACACCAACGTATAATACTCGTAGCAGCTTAATGCTGGTGTTTTGTATGGTGAGTGTAGGGAACCGGAGACCCATTTTACTGGAAGCGAGGCATTCCATCTTAGTCCTCACGGGTGACAACGCATCTGCATTTTGATTTGTAATAGAGGATAGATGTAGATTTTTATGGGCCGCAGCAACCACTTACCATCAGGTGGACTGTGTGCTCGTATGTCACTCTTGTCCTATAAAAAAACGACAGAAATAAGTGGAAAGCCTTAGAGGAGGCTTTTGTCGAAAGAGAAGCTGTTATGAGGAGAGACCAACCGAACTCCGAGAACATGAATTAGTTATTTAAGTTAATTTGTTCTTTTTTCTCTATCTATTTTCAACTATTGAATAAATGTTTTGTCAAATAAGTTGAAAACTAACAGAAACAGAAACTATTTTATTCAATATAGATTATAAATAATACTTATTGAAAGTAACTTTTTTGTTTAATTACCACTGGTTCGAAAAAAAAACTCTGTCCTGGGAAGAACTAGCACGAAACCCAGCGGGACTTTTAAAAAAACAGCTTACAATCGTGTATGTTACACAATTAACAACACAAAACAAATTAGAAATAGCTTGGTAGCGATCACCTCATTCCCAGGGGTTATTATCATTCATAATAAGCAAATTAAAAAAAAGTTAAAAAAAAAGTTATTATCATTCATAATTACCGTGTAGTGGCGGTTAAGAATATCCACTACCCCATATCTTCCCGTGGGTGTCGTAAAAGGCGACAAAGGGAAACAGGCAGGAGATGGGCAGTAGCATCTTCCTGATATTAGTCAAAATAACAATAAAAAAACTGCGGTTGCCAACCCGCTCGCCAAGCGTGGCAACTATGGCAATATACCCCCCATGAGCAATGACAATAATAAACGGCCCCCAGTCCCCGGCGGCCCCGCTATTCCTGGCTACGGTGGCGACCATGGTAACGGCGGGGCAGGGGGTGCTAAGAATCTCCGGTGGAGGTTCGGTTGCCACCTACGACGACTTGACCTGGCAACATACAACGCACGCACCCTGAGGACTGACGAGAAGATTGTGGAGCTGGAAGAAGAGATAGACAAGTTACGCTGGCATATTATAGGATTATCCGAAGTCCGAAGAGAGGGGGAGGACACGGTAATCCTCGAATCCGGCAACTTGCTCTATTACCGGGAGGGCGACCATCTGTCCCAAGGAGGTGTCGGATTTATCGTCCACAAGTCTCTCGTTAACAACGTTGTAAAGATTGAGAGTGTGTCGACGAGGGTTGTGTACCTTATACTCAGAATCACCAAACGGTATTCGCTGAAGGTCATACAGGTTTACGCACCAACCTCGGCACACCCCGATCAGGAGGTGGAGGAAATGTATGAGGATATCTCTAGAGCCATGCATTCCTCCAAAACCCAATATACGGTGTTAATGGGAGACTTCAATGCAAAACTAGGCACAAGAGAGAACGGTGAGCTAAAAGTAGGGAAATTTGGAATAGGGCAACGGAACCCAAGGGGCCAGCAGTTGGCTGACTTCATGGAGAAAGAGGGACTCTTTATGATGAACTCTTTCTTCCAGAAGCGGCCCCACAGGAAGTGGACCTGGTCGAGCCCCGACGGTTCGACAAAAAATGAGATTGACTTCATTATGACGACCAGACGACAACTGTTCAGTGATGTCTCAGTGATCGCGAGGGTGAAAACCGGCAGCGATCACCGAATGGTTAGAGGCACACTGAACCTAAACGTTAAGTTGGAGAGGTCTCGTCTAATGAAGTCAACGCTCCGTCCCCCTCGTGCTCTAATCCAAAGTCCCGAAACCTTTCAGCTCGAGTTACAAAACCGTTTTCAGTGCCTAGAAGACTGCAATGAAGTGGACGATTTGAATGACAAGCTCGTGGAAACTGTCCATGCGGTCGGAGCTAAGTTCTGCAAGACCCGCCGCAGAAGAACACAAAAACTCTCCGATCACACTCTTAATCTCATGGCTGTTAGACGGGAGATGAAGCTACATTCTTCAACAAATTTAACAGCATACAGGCAACTGAACAGACAGATCTCCAAATGCATGCGGCGGGACTTACGCAACTTCAATACAGCTCGTATTGAAGAAGCGATCGAGCGGAACCAAGGCTCCAAAGTCTTTGCCAGAGATCTGTCTGCCAGATAGCGCCAACTGTCAAAGCTGAAGACAGAATGTGGCAGCATCGTTTCCGGGGCACCTGAGATTTTGAGTGAGATTGAGAGGTTCTATGGGCAGCTGTACACGTCATCGTTGGAGCCGCACGCAAGTGTGAGTAACGATCCAAGAGCGAGTCTTATCCGACATTATTCCGATGATATCCCGGACGTCAGTCTGAGCGAGATTAGAATGGCTCTCCAGCACCTTAAAAACGGCAAGGCCCCAGGCGAGGATGGAATTACAGCGGAGCTTCTGAAAGCGGGTGGAAAACCGGTACTTGAAGTCCTTCAGAAGCTCTTTAATTCCGTCCTCCATGGTGGCATTACACCGGAGGCGTGGAGCAGAAGTGCGGTGGTCTTGTTCTTCAAGAAAGGCGACAACGCTTTCTTGAAGAACTACAGACCGATTTCCCTTCTGAGCCGCGTCTACGTGCTGTTTTCGAGAGTCATTACGAATCGTCTCGCGCGCAGACTTGACGACTTCCAGCCTCCCGAACAAGCCGGTTTCCGAAAAGGCTTTAGCACCATAGACCACATACATACCCTTCGGCATATTGTACAGAAGTCCGAGGAGTACAATTTGCCACTATGTCTGGCGTATGTGGACTATGAGAAAGCCTTTGATTCCGTCGAAATTTGGGCGGTGCTGCAGTCCCTTCAGCGATGCCAAGTTGACTGTCGGTATATCGAAGTGTTGAAGTGCTTGTACAGTAGGGCTACGATGGCTATCCGAGTACAGAACCAGAGTACGAAACCTATCCAATTGCAGAGAGGTGTAAGACAGGGTGACGTCATATCCCCGAAACTCTTTACCGCTGCATTGGAAGATGTTTTCAAGCTTCTGGACTGGAAAGGATACGGTATCAACATCAATGGCGAGTACATCACTCACCTTCGATTTGCCGACGATATAGTCCTTATGGCAGAATCGCTGGAGGACCTAAGCACTATGCTCAATGACCTCAATAGTGTTTCCCAACGGATAGGTCTTAAGATGAACATGGACAAAACAAAGATCATGTTTAATGTCCATGTCACACCTATGCCGGTAGTTGTTGGGAACACTAAGCTCGAAGTTGTTGACGAGTATGTTTACCTGGGACAAATAGTCCGACTAGGTAAGTCCAACTTCGACCGAGAGGTCAATCGACAGATTCAACTCGGTTGGGCAGCGTTCGGGAAATTACGGCACATCTTCTCGTCAGGTATACCTCAAAACTTGAAAACGAGACTGTACACCCAGTGCGTGTTGCCAGTGATGACATACGGAACTGAGACGTGGTCCTTCACTGCTGGCCGGATGAGGAAGCTCAAGGTCGCTCAGCGAGCTATGGAGAGGGCTATGCTCGGAGTTTCTCTGCGTGATAAACTCAGAAATGAGGATATCCGCAGTAGAACTAGAGTGACCGACATAGCCCAACGGATTAGTAAGCTGAAGTGGCAATGGGCCGGCCATATAGCTCGAAGAACCGACAACCGATGGGGAAGAAAGGTTCTCGAGTGGCAGCCTCGTACCGGCAGGCGAAGTGTAGGGCGTCCCCCCACTAGATGGAGTGACGACCTGGTAAGATATGCAGGAAGTCGATGGATGCAGGTGGCTCAGGACCGTGCTTTGTGGCATTCTTTGGGGGAGGCCTATGTTCAGCAGTGGACTTGTGAAGGGCTGTAATGATGATGATGATGAATAAGCAAAGCCTTATTTTATTTTATTTAATGTTTCCAAATCTCCAGATGGATGACCATCAGCACTAGATTTAGGCTTTAGGTTCACAACTTCCAGGCCTACTGGGGCAAATTTTAAGGAGCGACAAAATATTTATTCGAAATCTAAAAATTTTCTATCTATTATTGGAACAAACTTTTAAATTTCTGCCAAATCAAATTGTAGAAAGTATAGTACAGTAAATTGGCCAGTGGCTAAGCGTTTAGATACAGCGATGCGTGCCGCGGGTTTGAATCCCGCACGGTACAAGAATTTGTATGGCGTACAAATTACTGTTCCGGGTCTGTATGTTTTGTCCATATACAGTGCATATAAAACGTTCCCAAAGTACAGGAGAAATTCCTTATGTTTACATAACGTTCATATGTAACATCCTTATGTTTACATATGTTCATATGTATAATCGTGTGTAAAAAAAATTATAAAAGAAACTAAACCACAACACACAAACGTTTAATTATAAATAAAAATAAACTGAAACACAATTCTAATGAGTCTTGTGGTATTAGCACATTTTATAAATCTTCTAAAATTAATTTGTATTATAAATGTATTCGTGAAAAGTTGCTAGCAAACTTTACCTTGACAGGTTTTTATCCAATTTTCTATTTTTCTATAGCAGTAAATTTATGTAACAATATCATGTCATGTTAACTGATGTTATAAAACCATGTAATAAGAAAATAAAACATAGATCAATAAAAGTATCTATGCATATAAATTATACAATTTAATACTGTAAAATAATACTATAATGATTGATATACAGTATTATGTATAATATGAATAAATTGAACGTAATAAGAATATTTTTTTTTTCATTTATTGCATATTTAATATAAATTATATACAATATTAAAAACTATAATAATAAAAGAAAACATAAACTAGAAACTGAATTATCATAATATAGTCCTACTCCCCGTGGTATCGTGCCAAGAACGCTGGCTGCGTTTGCCCGCTGAATGGCTATACTTAGCCTTTGAGCGAGATTATAAATATATAAATTAATATCATTACAATAATTTAAGTCTGATATAATAATTTTATTTTACTTATTAAATTAATTAGAATATTAATTAAACTGTTTTTTCAGCAAGACACTCGAACAAATCAAAATCTTCCACGTCTGGATCTAAATGTGTTGCCGGCGTATCGAATGGGCTACAATGGGCGCGGTGTGCGCGTGTCCGTATTGGATGACGGCGTCGAATACAACCACACAGACCTACGCGAGAACTACGTAACTGTTATGTTATCCTAGTACAATTGAGGCGTTCTGTGGAAGTTTCCGTAATAGAAAGGCGTATTTTCCAAAGGGGACGAACGGAGGAATTTATTTTGTCTGGTTTCTTCTTCTCTTCCCAATCCATGCTTAACATTCTTAATTTTATTCATTCATCCAAACCTCCAAAACAAACAAAAAAATTACATCAAATATCCAGTGAAATGTTTATTCTCTATGTATTTCCTTGTTTTTTTATTTTATTTTATTACTTTTGAAGAACAAGTCTTTTTCCAAGACAGAATTGAAAATAATTTCGCAACCTATTAAGTTATGTTGTCCTAGTAAATTAAAGGTGTAAACAAAATGCACTCGGGCTGGTGGATTTTTTTTTAAATCAAAGTTTAACGAGTTGAATGTAAATTCAAGAAAAACAACTTCCTTCTGCGTGAATCCTATGGGAATCCTATCTCTGGTGCCCTTTGACCTACAGGACCCAAATTCAAACTCGACCGAGCTACTACCTCAAGGTCCATCCATCCACATACCAAATTTAAAGTCAATCGGTCCAGTGGAACGGAAGTTATCGTGTCGGCATACAGACTAACAGACTGCCAGCTAAAACCATTAACTTCCTTTCAATGCTACGCAGAAGGAAGTTAATAAGAAATTTCAGTGATCGATGTCATTGAGGAAGAAAGTAAGGAGTTTCGATTTAGGTATCTAAAAAACATAAAATCATAATACAATATAATATATTTATTATATATTTGGTGATGGATTGCGGACAGTAAATTCTAGTGGAGAATTTACCTAAAATAAATTTGCCTGGTTTTTTAACTAGAACGTGCGTTTGTTGAGCAATACTAGTAAAAAAATTCAAAAATTAAAATCTTAAACGTTTTCAATATATATCAACAATAATATTATTTTAAATTAATTATAACTTATTTTAAACATAATTTTTATTAAACGCGATAAAATCTGTAAATGTTATCAAGGTTTATTCAATAATAGCATACATAAATGTACTTAGTGTTATGATAATAAAGTTCTTGTAAGTGATGATTCGCAAAGAAGTCATTATTCTATCAACTGAAGTATGTAATATGTACGTGTTCGTAAGTACATTAAATACCAAACTAACAAAATAGCTACATAAGCGTATATAGGCACATACTTCAACGTATCGCTATCGCTGCTATTGCGTTTCTTTAGTCCTAGTAACTTGGCGGCCGGAGCGCCGCACCGTTTAGTTGTTGTGTGTGGGGAAACTCCTTTCTTCCCCCATTTCGTAAAACCGCTATTAATTTATAAAGAGACTCAACATCCTTAAGTCAAACTTCTAATACTATTTTTAATTCAACACTTTTATCTATAATAAGTTTTATTTTAAGGATCCAGAAATCAGTTGGGACTGCAATGATCACGATCCTGATCCTTACCCTATACATAAGGAGCATAATCACAATTCTCACGGAACGCGGTGTGCCGGGGAAGTAAGTCCTGGCTATTTATTTATAAACAAAATATCCAAATTTTAAGACTATATTATTAATTATTGATACGACACAACTTTTTTATGAATATTTTTAGATAGCAATGACTGCGAACAATTTTAAATGCGGTGTGGGCGTGGCGTTCGGAGCTAGTGTGGGCGGGGTTCGAATGCTCGACGGAAGGATAACCGATCGTGTAGAAGGCGAAGCAATAGGTACAAATGTATACAGTAAACGTGTGTGTTTTATAGTTACCTAGTACGTTTGAACGCCATGTTGAGTACAAAATGTGCGGCACAACGGGAATGAGCGAGCGTCCGTGGGAAAAGTATGAAATTTTGTCTTTATATTTTATAGTTGCCTGGTAGATTTGATCGCCATGTTGAGCACGATTGCCGTTATAATCTGCGACCGTGTCCCCCCTCCCTCCTGTTTGTTGTTCGTAGCCGCCAGCCAAACAAACAAACGTGGCAAGAAATTATGACGATCAAATTCTAGCATGATGATGATGATATTAAAGATTAAAGAACACTAAATCGAGCTATACGCGTGAGACTCGCGGCAGGTACGCATGCCGCCCCCCCATCATTAGCTTTTGAATAACCAGCGTAAAATAGCAGCTTAATGCTGCTGTTTCGTATGGTGAGTGTAGAGATACAGAGAGATCCGGAGACCCTTTTTACTAGAAACGAGGCATTCCATCTTAGTCCTCAGGGCTGATGACAACGCATTTCCATTTTGATTCTTAATCGAAGATAAAATGTAGGTCTATGGGCCTCAGCATCCCGTTACCATCAGGTGGACTGTGTGCTCGTTTGTCTTCAAAAATGTGTGCACGCGTACACGCGGTAGAGAAAACCTTGTTCTAAAAGACAAATAATAAAAATATTTCACGGCAAATGATTTATTTAATAACATATTTTTCAACCACAAGTGCGGCATAAATTAAAAGATAAAAGTTTAATTTTATATAATTAATAGAATCAGGTGTGTTACTTTGCAGAAATCCATTACAATGGGGTTGTTATAAACTAATTTGCTTAATTCCGCGTAAAGAAAGAAAATGATGTGTCCTGCCCAGTTTTAGTTGTGTTGCGTGTTTTAGTTGTGCTGGTAGTGCTGGGGATGGTAGTGCTGGGATTGACGGAGACGGTTATAGTGCGCGCGATTGAGGGAGGGTGGGAGGTCCCCTTCAAACTGGGCAGGACACATCATTTTCTTTCTTTACGCGGAATTAAGCAAATTAGTTTATTTTATACCCCTTTAATTTTATAGCAAACTAGCTGTTCCTCGCGACTTCGCTCGAGTGTAATTTAGGGTTTAAATTTTGTTGCGCGGAACCCTAATTATTTTTCAAAAATATAAGTAGCCTAAGTTATTCCTTATAACATGAGCTATCTACCAGTGTAAGTCCCGTCAAAATCGGTCCAGCCGTTTCGGAAATTAGCCAGAACAAACAGGCAGACAGACACAGACAGACAAAAATTTTAAAAATTGTGTTTCTATTATAGGTACCGTATATACTTTTATATGCAATTAGTAGAAAGATGTTATTTTGACATTACAAACAGACACTTCAATTTTATTTATTTGTATAGATAAATGTTACAATCCTTATTTTTAGACTAAATTTAATCGTAATAAATCATAAGAATCTTTTTTTTTTCTATTAAAAGTGCTTTGTAATAGCGCCATCTACTTCATTCGCTATAAGTAAAGTAATTTTATCGAACAAAAATTGATTTCCTTTCAATGTAGTACGTAAAATAGACACTAGATGGCCCGAAGTTATCAAATCGTGGATACTATGAGTAGATTGATTTTTATTTATTTAATTTATATATTTTATTTATATTATTCTATTATATAATTTATTCGCTTTAACCATTATTTATAAACTAAAAATGCTTGTGCTTACGAGTGGATCACGACAGTAGTCGAATGGCGGATTCGAACAAATAACCATTTGATTTCGCGGTTTGCAACCTGCCAACAAGGCTACTATCGTTTACTACACTGTATCTCATTCTAAATCCTAGAGATGTATTTGGTCTCTTTTTAGTATCGCTTTTTCGTTTTTTCGAGTTTCAAATCACGATTCTAAAGAAGTTTCACTTCAAGAAAAGCTCCAACTATGTCCTCAAACCGAAGAGAGTGGAACACCATGTTTAACTGCAATAAATCTGAGTGTCACATACCCCAGTTGTTTTATAACATTATTGTTAAATGTCTTATTCTAGTCGTTTTACTTAGACTTACACTTTAAACTAAAAGTTATTTTAGACTCTGACCCAGATCTGGGACACACAGATTTATGTCATATGGGATCCGAGACGTGGTTTTTCACTGCTGAGCGAGGAAGCTCAGGGTCGCTCCGCATGCAAGAGGTATATGGAGAAGTAGCTCGGAGTTTCTCTGTGTGACAGACTTCGTAATGAGAATATCCGCAGTAGAACCAGAGTAACCGACATATCCTAACAGATCGGTAAGCTCGAGTGGCATGGCGTCGATTATATAGCTCGAAGATGCAGTAACCGATGAGGGAAGTAGGTTTACCAGTGGCAGCTTCGTACCGGTATTCAAAGTGTAGCCACGTAACGTTTAACGGTAGGGCAGCCCTCGCCCGAGTATGATGGATAATGCCTGGTAAGAGATGCAGGAAGTGCTTTGCGGCATTCCTTTACGGAGCATTCCTTGTGATGGGTATTCCTGTAATGGTGATGATGATATTTTTTTAATAACAAGATCCAAAAAACATTTTCAACCTCAAATCAGGTGTAGTAGTTAGACTGTGCTCAAATATACAAGTAGCATAATAATTACATAATATTTGTTTTGATACTTTTGAATATTTTCATGGTCAGTGTCATAATGCCTTTTTTTTATTTCAACACATTTGCATTGGGAACGCAGGCGGTATGTTATCTTTCGTGCAGTTTCATGACCTCGTATTACCACAATATTCACGCGACGCACACGCATTTGGTGTGCTCTAGTCCAATCGATGTCTGGTATTTGTGATTGCCATTTTGAACTCTATTTCCCGTAACTAATGAAACCGTACCGGAAGATTGTTTGAAACCATAGAATTATTACGCATAGAATACTAGTACGCGCACCGAAAGTGAAGCAAGTAAAACTAACGCGGAACCGCGTTAGTTGACTCAGCGAGGCGTCAGTGCGCAACGTCACGCCTTACGGAGAAGAGCTCGCGAAAAATTGTACAAATTACCGTTTGTGTTGTAAAATATTGTCACCACGGTGACGATAAACATAAAAGAAGTGATGGTATTACATTTCACATATAAGTTTATACATTTAATTCATTATAATTACGTAAAACTAAAAAAATACTTACCTAAGCTCTCATAATACAAATGTTGCTAGTTGTGGGGAAAAAATCACAATTTTCTTTTAAAAATATTTATTTTCTATTTGTGTTTAAACGTTTAATCGCAATGCTCTGTGTAAAACTCAAATGTTTATATATAGATACCTACTTCTCTAAGTGTTAACATTATATTAACAATGTGTGCCTATTTAAAACTAATACGGAGTGATCAGCTAATCGCGATTCGACGACGCCATTTTAACGCAACTATTTTATTTTAATTGCTTTTTTTATTGACTAAGGTTACCTTTTAGAGTATAGAATAAAACTTTTTTATTTACAACATCATGAGATTATTAATAAGGACGCCTTTACTAACCAGATGTCATTTTACACCCAAACATTAACCAGATGTTACGTTAGACCCAAACATAGCCTATTTTAACCGACTCCAAAAAAGAAATGTATCAATATGTATGTACACTGATTTCTAAGCTTGATCAATTCGTATATACATGCTGAAATTTTAGTGCTTGTTGTCCCGCAGCCAAATTATACTGTCTCGATAGTAGAGTCAATTTATTAAATTAAAAAATATTACAATTAAAAAAGGGCAGATTTACAATAGTAATACCTCACAAGCTATTCGGGCGTCCAAACTAGTTTATGTCGTATCACTACGCTTGAGAGTTCAAGTTCATGTTATGAACATTTATTAGGCCCTTCATTGTGTAGGAAGCGCGCGGTAACACGTGCGATAGACGTAAAACTTAATGTAGTTTTTAGAAGTTAGTAGAATTTTTTTTCAGACTTTATTATAGTAATTCGGTATAAGCTAGCCTGCACGCCCGACCTACTTGCGAGATATTGCTATTGGTTTGAGAGCGTATTCGAGTTTTGTTTTTCTCGATTGTAAATATGCCATTTTTACATCCTAATAATTCTATTTTAATAAATCTATTGTACTACTAAGGCAAAATCATTTTACTTCGGGAAAACAACCATTAAAATTTCATCGTGTGTATTAGATCAATCTGTGTATATCCTTTCAAATAAAAATATCTAAATCAGTTTAGAAATTGTAGAATTCTGAGGTAAAAAACATTAAAAATTCACCGAATTGATAACCTCCTCCCTTTTTGAAGTCGGTTAAAATTAAATATTACACGATGTGCTTATTGTATTCGAGCAAACTAATTGTGTTTAATAATATTCTTAAATTTTATTACGTCTGCATTTTTTGCCATTAATATACCTATGTGTAATAAAGTTATATTAGTACCATCATTATCGTGTTTATTTTATTCCATTTTATATTCTTATAAAATACATCTTCGTACCTAATACGTAATCTTTATTATATCGATTTTTTAAAATTAATCAAAAAATAGTGATTTGCACAATTTGATTGCAAACGCCAGAAACTGGTATCACTGAATGGCGTGTATGTGTGCGTGTGACGAGCGTAGGCACATTCGACTCGCGCCCACTAACATTATGACCTTGCATCATTTTAACGCTCGTGTTTTGAACTGGACTGCGCTTCTATGCGTAATAATTCTATGTTTGAAACAGCTGAATCAGTTTTCTTTTTTTCATTAAATTATATTCAAAAAATTAATATTTTAATGCAATTTATTTAAACAACATTCTAGTTTTTACCATTTACTTGTGATATTTTCTAACTTAGTCCATTCGAGAGGGTAAATTAACTAAACTTTAAAAAAATTGCCTAGTTAAAAAAAAATAGTTTCGATTTGCAATATTTTAAATTTCAAGAAATTTTACGATTTATTCCTCATGTTGTTAAAAAAGTTAGCTTTACTTTAGAAGAATAATTAAACAACTGGCCACAATACTGGCATAGAGGGCATTGACCTACAG